TCAGTTCTCCATATATTTTTGTGATCAGTCCTTTATTACTACTTTTGTGTGAGAAAATGTTTTCCCAATTAGTGGGCTGAAAAGACACATTTTTTTTCTGGTGAACTTTTCCCTGTATTAATGAACTCTTCTTTAAGATTGGAGACAACATGGTAAAATTCATAGTTTCTATGTATGAGTGTATCTAGTAGCTGTCACTAATAAGAATGTGTTAGGGCTTACTGTTTTTTAATAGTAGTATATACCATGTTGTTTTGCTTATTCTATCACTTACCCACTATTTACTCACATTAAAGACATTCAACATATTAAAACTTAAGTGTTTCTGTAAAATTTTGAATTTGAGTCATATTTAATACTTATATGGGGAGACCTCTGTTGCTTAAAAATGATTTTTATTTGCCATGAATCTCTATTCTTCTTAAAATAAATTGAAAAGTTAATAAAATGAGGCAAAATGGTGAAAATCTTCCCTCATTCTGCTGACTTCTCCCTTTGATAGGCAACCACTATTAAGAGTTTCTTAGAACTTTCCAGCATAAATATGAAAATATATGTCTTCCGTTGTAGTTTGCTTTTAAATATAAATAGGATTATGTTACAGTGTTTTACTGTTCTTTTTACTTTTTCAACTTTTCACATATAGAGCTAGAATGGAAACTTGAAATTTCAAGCTGTTTTTCTTTCTTGAAATTTAGGGTTCATTGTTTTATCCATTGTTTAATTGATATTCCGTACTTCTTTTTGTTACTCTTACTGCCATTTCAAATAATGCTATTTTTATTTTGTATGAATTATTTCCTTGCAAGTTGTGTGAATTAATTATGCTCTTTTTGTTTTTAGGGAGTTTAATAGGCTAATTTTCTTAAAAATGTACCTGACAATGATACAATAAAATGTATTCACTCAATAAATGTTGCTTAGTCACACCATGTGCTAAGAATCGTTCTGAATAGTCGAGATATAGTGATGAATAGGATAGATAAGTTTCTTAGTCTATAGAATGTACATTCTTAAGTAGAAACTGTTACTAGAACGATATACTTTAAAACCCAAACAGTGTAAATCTTATTAAACTTTTTTCATACTGAGGAAAGAATAATATTGCACTGACACTCTAATCATATTTTGCAAAACAATTATTATATAATGCTAAAAAATTATTTTCTGGGCTTTTCTCTCAGAGCAGTTGTTCTTTTAAATAGTTGCAAATCTTCAAAATGAATTGTTAAACTTAGACATTTCTGAATCCTTAAGTGGTTAAGAAACAGGAGGGGTGTTTGTATTTCCCAGTAGTTCTGTAATGGGAAGTAGGGGACTTTGTCATGTAGTTTAACTTCTTTGTTTTTGGTATAGTAACTGGAGCAAAATTCAAAAGGTGAGAACCAAAGCAAACCATGATTTTTTTTTCCTTTTTAATTACACCTTTTTCCAGACAGTCAGTCCTTATTTCTTTTTTCTTTTGGATGTTTCCATATCGTAATCAGCCATGACTTTAATTTTGCACTTAACAGCAGAATAGAACTCCAGTATTTTAATCTAGCCATAGTGTCATTTTTGTCTTGCTCTTAGAATAACAAACATAACATGCCATGAAAAAATTTCTCTTTTTTGCCATCTATCAGAGTGTTTATTGAGTAAATATTTTTAGAGTGCATATTTGATGCTTTATTATCATTTTAAGGCAATATTTTAAATTGACAGAATAAAACATTTTTTTCTAAATCAAATCATACAATATTTGATAACCCTAAAGGAAGATATGCTCCATGTGTTTAGGTGGAATTAACTGTCATCCAAGTCAAGTTTTGGATTGTTAGGGTGAGCAGAATAGTCTCCATTCCAAGAAATTAGCATGTCACCTCTAAAGATCTTTATATACGTTTTGTCAGTCATTTACATATCTGTGTAATTTTGGGTTACATTTTTACATTTCATATTTGCCCATGTTTCACTCACTCTCCACACACTTCCTGTACCAGTGTCCTTCCTTCCCTGTTCCCTCCTATCACCCTTCTCCTCTTCCCTCTGGTAACCCAGAGTCTCAGAACTGATTTTGCTGTGTATTGTCAGCATATACTTTTGGGTTACTTCTATTTCCATAAGCATGTGAAACTATCCTATATCTATTTTTCACTTTCTGATTTATTTCACTTACATAATTACATCATGGACAATCCATCTTGTCCCAGAAGGTACGATCTCATTATTTTAGTTGCTTAGTAGTATTCTATTCTGTTACACAGCTTTTTTATTTGTCATTTTGCATTTAGATTGGTTCCCCTCTGAAAACCATTAAATGAATGTACAAAAACAGTTAGCTTAGATCTTTTGTTAACTATCTTCATTTCTTCCAGATTCCACACCAAATCATCCATCGCAGACAACACCATCCCAAAAGAAAACTCCCAGTTCTTCATCTCGACAAAAAGATAAAGTTAATAAAAGAAATGAACGTGGTGAAACTCCTTTACACATGGCAGCTATTCGAGGAGATGTGAAACAAGTGAAAGAACTAATAAGCTTAGGAGCAAATGTGAATGTGAAAGATTTTGCAGGTGAGATTGATAATTGCGAACCATTACTATATATTACAATATATAGTAACTAAAAATTTAGTTACAGTTTAATCTACATTCTGTATTCCTCTGGCTGAAAAGAAAGCACTGTAAAAGTGATTGCAAAACTGTTTGGTACATGTACTTGCAAATCTGATCTTTAATTTCTTGTCAATAATTACTCAAATTTTAAAATACTAAACTTTTAGCATAGTTGACATGTTACTAAGTAATTCTTTACACAATTTAACTTTGATCCTAGGTGAATTTGAGGTTTTCTTGGCTGTCAGAAAAGTAATGATTCATTTTTGCATAGAAAAAATATGTCCTAAGTCTTCCAACAGTCCAATATAATGCTGTCAAATTCTTAACTCTTTCCAAGAATATTCGTTAACTTGAACATGAGAACTATAAAAGAGTGGTAACTTGTTTCATTTAGATTACACTAGTGCCTTGCCAATACATTCTTACAGGAAACAATATGACATTCCCTTTACTTTCATGTATTCCACTGTCTATCTGTTACTCCTTGCCCTACCTGCCCTCCACAAGAAATTTCCTCTTCCATCAAATTATTAATAACAATTAGAAGCTATACTTGCTGTCCTTTTTGTTGTCGTAGGTATTTTGAACATTTATTATGTACAGACTTTCCAGAAGTGTGAGCTCACTCCATCTATAAATCTGTCTACAGTTTTGTAACCTGCTTTTTCACTTAATGCCTTATAGTGCTTTTTGTAGTAGTTCTTCATTTTAAGAGCTACATAATGTTGTATACTAGAGATTCTATGAACAGTGCTTCAGTGGATACTCGAGTAAAAATATATCTATGTGTATATGTAGCATAGACATACTTCAGTGGAGGAAAAATGTTAAAGGAAGTGGACATTTGAAATTTTTTATAGTACAGACATACAGTACTGCCCTCTCCCCCAAAATTCATCAGTTTATACTACCATTAAGAGTACATGAAAGATCCCTTTTCACATCATCACTAAAACTGGATATTATTTATTATTAGCAATCTGACAAATGAGAAAATACCTTATTTTAATTTAGATTCCTTTAATTTTTGATGACAGTAACTATTTCTTGTGCATTTTATAAATTTATATGGATTTATAACTTCCCAGATACGGACCTTTGCCCATTTTTCTTATGGTTAGGTACTAGTATTATATAAAGAACTTTGTTTTGTCTAAGTTTTAATTCTCTGTCAGGTATTTACGTATTTTTACTATTTGGCCATATTTGAATATTCTGTAGTGTTTATTCTGCTAAAGTTATAAAATTTTATGTGATCATTATCAATTAGTTTGTTGATTTGAGTTCTTTGTTATTCTGTTTAAAAAGACATATTCCCATGTGTCATAATACTATATGCTCCTATATCTTTTTATTAACAAATTTTTATTTTGTTTTAACAGTTAGCTATTATAATACATGTAGAATTCATTTATTAGGTGACTGGAGGAAAGGGTGTTCTACCTTAAAGATTGACCTACGTTAAACATTGAGACTTAAAATGAATGACATCCATTCTAGAGAACAATAATATTATCCATTAGAAACCTAAAAATATACTTTCCCTTTGATCTAAATTTTCACTTCTGAGGACTTAATATTTAGACATGAATTACTAAAATAATCAATTGTGTTTGTTGCAGCATTGTTTCTAATGTTTAAAAAGTAGAAGTAATTTAAATGTCCAATAATAGAAACAGCGTTAAATAAATTACTGTTTATTCAGTCACTACAATTCTGTGTTGTAGAAAAGTATAATGATAGGGAAATTTTTTTTTTTTTTACTGTAGTAAGTAAAAGCAGTTTTAAATAACCTTCATGGTTTTGTTTTAAAATTATAATTATGTAGTTTCCTTAAATAATTGTATTTGGATGGTTGGGTTATGTGTGATGCTTATTTTTTTCTTTTGTGTATTTTTAAATTTCTTTTATGTGTATGTAACTTTTGATTCTAAAAGTAACTTTAAAGTGGTAAATTTATTTCAGTTAAAATAATACTAGGTTAGGAAAGACTATCAGTTGAGCAGATGAAAGCTCCTAAAACATCAGGGATTTTCTTTATTGAAAGATCCCTTATAAGCTTATTAGTATTGTACCTCCTTTTAAAGTTCCTTTTGAGTAGTTCCGATAATTATAAATTACTGCAAGATTATATTTATTGGAAAAGCTTAAATGTTTAATATTTTAGAAATCATTTAGCCCCATGGAAAAATACTATCATAAATGAACTTTTTTAAAATTGTATGTTTTAACTATTTTTGGTAGTTTCTTTATCACTGCTTTTCCTTTTGTATTGTGAATAGTTAGAATTGATATGCAAGTTAATTATGTGTATGAAAAGCTTATATGTTGAACTAGTACAAGTGAATCATATTACTATTTTGACTTTAGGTTGGACACCATTACATGAAGCTTGCAACGCCGGATATTATGATGTTGCTAAGATACTTATAGCAGCTGGGGCAGATGTTAACACACAAGGGTTGGATGATGACACTCCACTGCATGATTCTGCTAGTAATGGGCACAGAGATGTAAGTATCACAGAAAAAACAATAATGCACATTTTCAAAAGTTAAATTCAATGTGAAGTAATTCACTTCACTTTTTTTTTTTTTTTTTGTTAAGATTTTATTTATTTATTCATATAGAACTGGGGTATAAGCCAGAGATGCGGGTGCAGCAAGATGCTTCTCCAGAGACAGAGTGGGGAGCAGAACAGGTAGATCGACGAAGTACACTGCTGAGGGGAGCAGCGGGCGGGTCAGGAGAGGTCTGCCTCGCCATGTGGACTCCTCCGGAGCGGGCGGGAATCGATCTCATGCCGAAGTGGCTTAAGCTTTGTAGTGCAGTGCTTTAACCCGCTGCGCTACCAGGGAGGGCCAATTCACTTCACTTTTTAATCATATGATCTTGTGTTATATTTACTCATTGCTTGATTAGTTAATCTATATTTTTTTTAATCCTTTATTATAAGGTTTTTTTTTTTTTTTTTTTGTAGCAAACAACTGGGGTGTAGGCCAGAGATGCAGGGAGTGAGAGGATTCACCAGAGACAGAGTAGGGAGCAGAACAGGCAGATCCACTGAAATACACTGCTAAGGGGAGCATTAGGATAAACTTCTGGGAGAGGTCTGCTGCATCATGTGGGTTAGCTCCCTGGCCAGGGATGGAACTCAGGCTACTTTGTCATTAGGTACTGTTGCCATGGTAGTGCCGGTACTTAACCCCTAGGCCACCAGGTCGTCCTTCGTGTATATTTTATATATTACCTTTTTTTCTTTCTTGTAACTGCTAATTGGTATTAAAGTTAAATTGAGCATTATCTTTCATGAAATCAATTTAAATAGAAAATTGATTAAATACATTGCTAACATTTTTATTTCAGCTCATTTAACTGTAAGATAACTAGATGTAATAAAGTATATTTTACTAACTAAAAATTTTAAATGCTGTCTTTGAAAGCATTTATTTTAGGGAAAAAAATTAAAGGTAAGATAAATATGAATTTAATTCTGGACATTAGTGATCTTGAACAAGTTTCTTCTCTGAACTTTGATATCTACATTATTTATTTCATAAATAACACCTATTTAAAGAGTACATTTTGAAGGGGAGAAATGCATATTAACAGAACTTAAAATCTGAACTATTACAGAGATGTCTGATTGAAAAGAAAGGGCCCTCAGTGGTAGCACAGGGGTTAAAGTTTGAGTGCTATCAAGCAATTGTCAACTATTGCAAATAAGTTCAATCCCTGGCGAAGGGAGCTAACCAGTATGGCTCAGCAGACCTCTCCTATCACACACCCCTCGCCCCTGCTCCCTTCAGCAGTGTATTTCAGTAGACCCACCTGTTCTGCTCCCTAATCTGTCTGATGAGTCCTCTCTCACAGACTCATCTCCCCACATCTCTGGTCTGCACCCATTTCTCTTATATATTAAATACATAAAAATAAAGTTTTAAAAACAGATTGAGAACACCACCTGTACATTACTATTTTTCAAATATATCCAAATGTTTTACAAACTAGAATTTGTAAACTACCTGTGTTGTTTTCTTTAATTTTCATTTTCTGTAAGTTTTTTTTTTTTTTTAAAGATTTATTTATTCAGACAGACTGGGGTACAGGCCAGAGGTGCAAGGACAGTGAGAGAATTCACCAAGGACAGAGTGGGGAGCAGAACAGGCAGATCAATGAAATACACTGCTCAGGGAAGCAGTGGGTGAGTCACGAGAGGTCTGCCATGCCATGTGGGTCACCTCCAGGGCTGGGGGTTGAACTCACACTGAAGTGGCTGCAGCCAGTTTGCAGTGCTGTGCTTTAACCCACTGCACTACCAGTGTGGGCCCATAAGGTATTTTTCATGTGTTTTTGTTTGGTTTTGTTTTTTAAGATTGCTTATTTATGCAAAAACATGTGGGTTACCTCACCGGCCCGGGATTGAACTCATGATGCAGTAGCTATTGATAGTTTCATAGTGCTATGCTTTAACCCCTTGCACCACCAGGCAGTGTCCTACTTTTCATAATTCTTAAAGAGTTTCTAGTTTTGAAGAGAAGTCAAACTTTTCTTATACTGGTCTTTGTTTACCATTAAACTAGTCCTTTTTGTTTCCATGGCAATTTGTATATACCTATATGATTATATTTACTACATTATTTTTTTACTGATAGTATTTGTCTGTTTCCTACATGCCACTGTGATTACCAGGCATCTAGACTTTTTATATTATTTTCTTTTACTAAGCTCTGCTTGTTGCATAAGACCACTCAATAAATTCTGCCTGGATGCATGAACAGGTGCATGTGTAAGATGGATGATGAATTAATAACTGAGTATGCAGAACACCAAAGACTTAATCCGTAAGACCCCAAAACATATAGGGTACATTTCCCTTTCCACTGAATTTAAATAATGTGCTTTTTGCCCTTTTATAAAGCAGTATAGGTCATTATCAAAGATGAGTTGTTTTCCTTTAAATGTGATACATAAAGATTTTCTGGCTCCTAAATATAATTTTAAAGTATTATATTTTGTGACTAAGACAAGCTTCTATGAGTACAAGTTTCTAAATATGCACATAGCTGCAAAATATTTCCAGAAGCTGACTTTGGGCTTATATACTTAGAGGAACTCACATACTATTTCTACTCTTTCCAGAGAGAGACTGGCATGATATTTTCAAGAGGCCCTTGCTTTTCCTTCTACCAGCATGCCTAGGATAGTAGGAGTCACAATTCAGAGCTGCTAGAGTTATTTTCTTCTATTGAGATCTTGGTTCTTTCTGTTGCTTGTGCCTAAGGAGAAGGACGGAAACGAGAAACACCAAATCTCTCATTTGTGTATATCTCTACTATATATTATGAGTCTCTCTAATAATTGGATTTCTTTCTCTCAGTAATACTCATGACAATTTCAACCATCCATAAAAGATTTGTAGGGTGGGAGAAACAGAAAGACAACATTGCCTTAACCTGGTCTAAATTATTTAAAGTAAGGGAGAATTAACATACATACTAAGAACTGTATCTTTTACCTACCTTTTGTTAGTGTTTGGTACTTCATGATATACATTTTTAAAATACTTTTATTCATGATGAGCTGTTTTTCCTCTATATTCTCTTTATTTCATCTTTTTTTTTTGCCTATCTTAATTTGTTGTTAACCAGTTTACAATCACTGTAAGTCCCTTTTATTTATTTATTTATGTATATAAGAACTGTGGTACATGCCATTGGTGTGGTGAGCAAGAGGATTCACTAGAGACAGTGGAGAGTGAAACAGGTGGATTGACTGAAATTCACTGCTGAGAGGAGCAGCAGGTTACACAGGAGCAGTCTGCTGTGCCATGTGGGTCACCTCCCTGGCCAGGGATCAAACTCATGCTGCAGTGGCTGTGGGTAGCTTCATAGTGCTGCACTTCAACCCCTTGTGCCACCAGGGAGGTCTTAAGTCTCTTTAAATACTTCTCATGATATGATCAAGTGTAAAGTATTAATTATTCAGATTAGGATTTTCACTGCATGTTTGAGTAAACCAAGAGCCCTGGTCTTCTCAAAGGTATGAATAAATATTTGTTGATTTCTACTTATGGAAGTAGAAAACTCTAGGCAGTATCAAAATCCTTTACTTTGTCTTCTCATTCTAGGACTCTGACTTGGGAAATAAGTCCCCATATGGTACTTACAATAATGTTCAGTTCAGTTTAGAATGAGTGACTGTTAACCTAGAACAGTTTCACAGACTTTTCTGTGATGAACCAGATAGTGAATACTCTTAAATTTTGCAGGCCACATGCTGCCTCCTCCCCGCATCTCTCCTTTCTTCTGTTCCTCTCTCTTCTGTACTTATCCTATAACAGCCATTTTACAAGAATATATAAACTGTTCACAGACTAGATTTGGCCCACAGGTGAATTCCAGCAATTCTCTATGAGAATATGCAAGTAAAAATCACTCTAACACAGAACCACAGAAAAAACTGAAACTCAGGAATTGATGACACTAGTTGCTTCTGATAGTACCTGTAAGGATGAGTTTGAAAACAAACGAATCAGTTCACAAAATCTTTTTGACTCTAATATATTCCTTTTATAATCCTGCAACCCATGTAAATAGCACATGATAATATTTCCTAGAATAAGGAAAAATTAAACAATAAGGACATACTAAACAATGAGCCTTCTTTCAATAACCAAAATGTTGACATAGCTTCAGGTTCTGGGTACAAGTTGAAAGATTGGAAGTTCTAATGAAATAATCCTGGAATATCACACTAACATGAATTCCATCTTTCAGTATAAACCCTATCCATGCCTACAAAACTTTCAGTAAATCTTTCACTGCATCACTTAAAGTGGGCAGCTAGAGTTTGCCTACCTTTTGAGAAAAGTATCTAATAATGGAAGTTAAAGACCAAGCAGAAAAATAAAAAGTGCTAAAACAAAAGGAACTAAGAAACACAGGAACTAAGAAGAACTTCAGAAAAAAAAGAACAAAAACACTTAAGAGATAAAAGATACTGTGCAGTGAAACCAAGAACTCAATGCATTAACTAAGGATTTTTTAAAAAACAGTTCTGGCCCTCCCTGGTGGCGCAGCGGGTTAAAGCACAACACTGAGAAGCTAAAGCCACTTCCGCATGAGTTCGATTCCTGCCTGCCCCGGAGGTGACCCACATGGCGTGGCAGACCTCTCCTGGCCCGCCTGCTGCTCCCCTCAGCAGTGTACTTCGTCGATCTCTCTGTTCTGCTCCCCACTCTGTCTCTGGTGAAGACTCTCGCCGCCCCTGAGCCTCTGGCCTGTACCCCAGTTCTTTTAAAAAAATTATTTATATAAAAAAAAAAGTTCTTTGAAATTGATAATAATGTCACAGATGAAAAGTGTGGTATTGGGAGCTGAAAATAAATTGAAGATATCTCCCAACAACTAGGGTACAGAAAGAGATGAAAGAGGAAAAATGAGCAAAAAGTTTAATTTAGGATATCCAGTGTCTTAACAAGAGTTTTGAAATATGGAACATAAATATGTGGACAATATTAAATAAATGATTTCAGAAATAAAGGGACATTGGTTTTTAGCGTGAAAGCACAGTTGAATGCTCAGTTGAAAGAATGTTAAAAGAAACTAAGTTCAAGGTACCTTTCCTTGGATTTCTGAATAATGGAGCAAAGAATGTCCTCAAGCTTACAGAGCTGAAAAAACAAGTTGCATAAAAGGTAAAAAATCAGAATGGAGACCTCAAAAGATTTTTTCTTTTTCTTTTTTTTTTGATAAGCATTATAAAAATCAGAATGGCATTGCAACGTTCAGTAACAGCAGTAGAAGCTGTTACTAGAAGATAAGTAATGGCTTCAGAATTAGGAGGGAAAATTAATTCTACAAACAGATATAATGTAGGGGAGGATAGAATAAAGGTATTTTCTGACCTGCAAAATTCTCAAAAATATTTGCTACTTCTCAGGAATCTCCTGGAGTTTTGATTCAATAAAATGAAGAAAATAAAGAACTTGTAAAGAATCCAATATAAAATTAGGGGACAGGTATTTCTGGAATGATCAAATAAAGGGAAATACCAACAGGACAACTGGGAGGCCCATCTAGAGAGCAATTAATTATTGTAAAGCAAGTTACAAAGCTTGGAGAATGGAATATTTCATTAAATTGGAGCTGTTTACTCTTATAGCAGAACACCAAGATGAATTAAAAATGAATATGCAGAACAGTGAGCTAATGAAAAATTAAGATAATTAACTCCACTGGGGAAAATAAAGTAGAAGAACGGAGAATCAGTCATTGTGTACTACTTTGCTTGACATTTATATTAACCCTAGCTTCAGGAAGAACATTACATAACTGTGTTGGAAAGATAAGAGAAAGAGAAGTGTATGTGGGGAGAAAGTGAATGATAGTTGGTGAGAGATGAATCCACATATTCTCTTGGAATACAGTAAACTGCTTAAATGTGAAGTATAGAAGCAGCAAGCTGTGTTTTACTTAAATATATGTAAGTATCAGGGACAGTTGTTCTTTGCCAGTAGCTTTGAAAAGTAAGTTCAGCTTTTAAAATCAAAAACACATATAATTTGATTTTGAAAAAGGAGATTAAAATATGAACAGAAACAAGTAATATGTTTTTTATATGCTTTCTTACATTTAAAATTTTCTAAATTGATAGTTAATTCTTTCATAGTCTGGTATTTTCCATTATTTAATTCATTATAGATCTTTATTATTCTTAATTACTGTAATTAGTTAGAAATTCCTAATTACAACCATCTTGTTTCATATTGTTTCTTTAAAAAAAACATGATTTTATATGTGCCAGAAAATTATCATAGATATGTGTTGGGAGTAAAAAGACAGCACAGATTGATGCCATATAAAGTTTATGGTCTAGAATAAGCAATGAAATGTGTTAATAAGTTATAAGTATAATAGAATACACTAATGTCAATGAAAATTGAACAAACCAAGAGGAGGTAATAAGAAAGCAGAATGAATCGCACATGGTCACCTGTGTGCTGTAGAATATGTTAAAAACAAGAGCAAGTATGACTCCCAACTATCTGACTTCAGGGACTAGGTATATTTTAGTACAGTCATTAAGAATGGAAACAGATAAGGATGCAAGTTTGGGTATTCCAATTTAGACCTGTTAGTTTCAGCTGTTATATTGAAATGCAAATATATTCAGTCAGATGTATCCAATGAACATTTGGATATTTGGATTTAGAGCTCAAGAAAAAGGGCTGAGAAAGAGTGCAAAAAACAGAATGAAAATGATGAGTGGGTTATATAAGTGTCATCACATTCAGTCAGAGTGGGTAGGACTTCTACTCTGGATTAGAGGATGAGACATAGTGATATAGGACAGAGCCCCAGTGATACAGTCTTGAACTTACATCTTCATAGATCAAAAATGACTCCTTTCATAGGATTGAAAGTAGCATATTGAAGGTAGAAGAATGATGGGCCAATTAAAGACAACAAGGTTACAAGGGTAAATATATCTTCAGGAGCCTGACTGTGAAGGAAGGCAGAGAGTTAGCTAGAGGAAGGAGAATGTAAGTTTGAACAGCTTCTTGTTCTCTCTGTTTCATTTTTTTATCACCATTATTTTAAGGTAAAAGAAACTTGAAGTGGGCATATTGGCTTCTAATAAGGAGTTACTTAAATTTTAAAATAGAGAAAGGAAAAGAATAAGAAGCAAAATACAAAAGAACTAAAATTGTGCTTGACTGGGCAGATCTGGTTTTGTGGAGCCCAGAGCTTTCATAGTTTGGTAAGAGAAAAGAAGACTTCTTCAAAAAATACTTTTTTTTCTAATTTATTTTTTGTTTTTATTGTGGTAACATGGTTCATAGCATTTGTATATCAAAAGCATAGAATCTCCCTTCTCACATCCCACCATCAAAACACCTATAGTCTACAACCATAGTCCTTTTGCTCCCTCCCTCCCTTGCTCTCACTGTTCCCTCTTCTGCTCTGGTAACCTCAGTTCATTAGTCATCTTTAAGAAACATTTATATATGATGAATACAAAATTACAGGGTTTTGTAAGAAGTCCATGTAAGTGATGTCCTTGAAGTTTAAGCTTCATTAGCTCTAAGTAAATCTGTGAGAGACTTGGAAAAGAATAAGACTAGGAACATCATCAATGCTTTTTTTCAGTCCTAGGATATACATTCCAAAAGGCTAGGGAACTTACTAGTATTGTTCATCAATTTATTTGCAGCACTTGGATCAGTGCTTGCTAAGAGGTATATGGTATTTAATGTATGATGAAACAATAAGAAAACTATTAGCACTAGACTAAGCCAGCTTAAAGTTTTTTCCTTCATTAAGATTTTTAAATATGTAATTTATTTATTTATATATAGTTTACATCATGGTTCATTTGTGTACAATGTTTACTTTCTTTTCTAAGAGGTAATCCTCATAGAATCCCCACCACCAGTTCACCTGTGTACTCTTCCATCATCCCTTGTGCTCTTCCCACCCTCCCTTTGATCTCTTTACCACACCCTTCCCCACAGAATATCTCTGATTTATAGTTGTCTGTTTATTTTTTTCCCCTAGATTCTCTATATTCTCCTATAAGTGAAACTACCTAGCATTTTTCTTTTTCTTTCTGGTTTATATCACTGAGTATAATCAGTCCCTTCTAGCTCCATCCGTGTTGTTGGGAATGGCATTTGTTTATCTGATTGCTGAGTAGTACTCCATTGTGTGTGTGTGTGTACACACTGCATCTTCTTGATCCATTTGTCTATTTTTGATCATTTGGGTTGATTCCACATCTTACCTATTATAGATAGTGCTACAATAAACATGTGAATACATGTATTCTTTTGTATTAATGGTTTTGTGTCCTTTGGGTAGATCCCTAGGAGTGGAATTGCTAGGTCATATGTTAGCTCCATTTTCAGTAAACTGAGGAACCTCCATATAGCGTTCCATAGTGGTTGGACTAGTTTGCATTCCCACCAGCAATATGGAAGAGTAGCACATCCTGGCCAACATTTGTTGTTGGTAGTTTTTTTTAATGTGCCATTTTTACTGGTATGAGTCGTGTATCATTGTGGTTTCATTTTCATTTCCCTAATTATGAGGGATGTTAAACATTTTTTCATATGCCTATTGGTCATTTGCAATTCCTATTTGAAAAAGTGTCTTTTAAGTTTTTCTGCTCCATTTCTTAACTAGATTGTTTACTTTGTTTTTGTTGAGCCATGTGAACTCTTTGTATATCTTTGTGAACAGTCCCTTACCAATTTAAGGAGTGCAGAAATTTTCCCTTTCATGGGATGTCTGTTTTGGCTAATGTCTCTTTTGCTGAGCAAAAGCTTTTTAATTTGATGTAGTTCCAGGTGTTTGTCTTTTCCTTTATTTTTCTTTGCCTTAGATGAGGTGTCTTTAAAGAAGTTACTGAGATGTATGTCATATAGTGTTTTTCCATATTTTCTTCTATATGTTTATGTTTTTCCATATTTTCCCCTATATGTTTATGTTTTTTTATATTTTCTTCTTATGTCTGATTCTTTGACCCATTTTGAGTTGTTTTTTTGTGAATGATATGAGGTAGTGGCTTCATTATTTTGCATGTAGCAGTCCAGTTTTCCAAGCACCATTTAGCTGCATAGTTTTCAATATTTTTTTCTCCTTTGTCAAAGATTAAGTGCCCGTAAATCTGTGGGTTAATTTCTTGGTATTCTATTCAATTCCATTGGTCTAAGCTAGCTTAAATTTGAGGGAAGAAATTGTCATCAGGTAGAGGGAGTTGGCAGTTAAAATGGTACTTGAGGCAAGGAATCGATTTGGAATAGAGTTGGAGAGTAGAGATGGTAGATGAGGCAGAAGGATGTTAGGATTGTTACGGAGAGAATGGTTGAAATGCTGTAATCTTTTTAATGTTACAGATAGTGAAACTGTTACTTCGTCATGGTGGAAATCCATTCCAAGCTAACAAACAGGGGGAGCGTCCAGTGGATGTAGCAGAAACAGAGGAGTTGGAATTGCTACTAAAAAGAGAAGTGCCCTTATCTGATGATGATGAGAGTTACACAGGTTTGTTTCAATTAATCTGAATTCATCTGCTTTTTTTTTACCAGGATATTTAGAGATAAAGACCAAATACAAACCAATTAAACACATTCTACTTTATAGTACATAAAGGTACTTTATAGTACCTTAGAATAATTCTATTAGGAATGGTAAATTTAGTAACCTTAATGGAATCATAATACCATTGCCCTGTTTTCTGTATTATTTTTTCATCCTCCAAATTGCTGACACTACAATATTCAAGCCTAGTGCAAGACCCCTCATTTATTGTTACCACCATTGCCATGCTGACTTCTTTTCATTCTCCTATTAGTTAGAGAGCTACAAATTAATATTTTCCAGTATATTTTTGGTGCTAATCCTCTTTGCATCTTGTCTTTTACAATATAGGTAGTTGAACTCTGGTTATTGTTGCAAGATAGAAGCACACTTACACACCCAATTTTAAAAAGGAAAATTCTAAAAGGATATTTCAGAAGCTGCTTGCTTTCTCAAGGTTAAAAAAACAATTAAAAGCATAATTAAAAAATGCTTTCCTGTGTTGAAAGTTTTTTGTCTACAGGTTAGATAGGCTCATCACATTTCATGGAAAAATCAGTATAAAAGAATGTGTTAAGTTTTATAACTGGACATAAGCTGACAAAATCTTAATGTAATTCCTACCAGATATTAGGTGGTACTAGTTTCATTTTATACTATATGTAAGAGAGGAAATGCCAACCCCTGCTCGTTTAGTCTCAACCATTGCCAAGAGGCAGTGCAGCTACATCTATAGTTTTGAATTACCTTTTACTTTTGTATAATATTGCTAAGTTGTTTTTCACATAGAAAACAAATAAAAGAACACACCCTTTAGGAATAATATCCTAATTTGTAGAAGTAAAAATTAATTAGATTTGTACTCTAGAGATGTTACCAAATTACAAACAAAAGAATAAGTAGGTCATTATAGAATAGAAATGATTTATAGTGACATGACTACAAAGATGTCTTAAGTACTTTAAAATATTTTCAAATTGATTATAAATATCAACTCATTTAAATGGAAAAAATAAAACAAGTAATACTTTGCAATTTAAATACCAAGTTATACTAACAACTTTAGGGTAGGGAAAATGGCAGTAATAGGTACAGCTTTTAAAAGTGAGAAGTTACATGGTAACCATTTTCCTTGACATTAGAACAATACCAGTTCAAGAATGCTTTTGAAGACACAAAAGCAAGAATTAAAGTATTAGGTGATTTTTCTTTTAACTTTAGAAATTTTTATCTAAAAATAAGTAGAGTAAGCATTAGGCAAAAGTTAAAGCCAAATGCATAATGGCAATAAAGGATTTTTGTGATAATAAAAGAGCATAATACAAAATGAAGATAAAATTTTATTGTCCTTGCAAACATCAGATAATACTGTCAACATATGTAAAATAAAATTTGCTAGAAATACAAAGCAAAGTTGACAAAAACAATACTTACTGACAATTTTAACATTTTCCCAAGTAAATACAGTCCTTTACTAGAAAACATCAAAACTGTAAATAGTGCCTACAAAACTGTAGTAGATACACGACGAAACCAGAGATTTGCTGTAAAAGTTCATATCTATTATCATAAAAATGCAATCAGTATGAAAATTATTACACTAAGACAATTAGAAGAAAAACTGATCAAAAAAGAAAAGCAGCATTAATAAAATTAAGTGAATTAGCTAACAAAATGCAAAAATAAATGAATTATCTCTCATGAGACGAACTAGTGAACCTATTGCAGATCTACTAAGAAAAAGTGAGTGGAATACCGTAAACAGCATTGAAAAGTAAGGAATGGATAGAGCCACAAAAGTATAAAAATAAATTTTACATACACAAACAATATCTTGAAAGATAAATACAATGAGTGAGAGAAGGAGACTGAGAATCAGTGGAGGGAGACAAAAGTAGAAGGAGTAGGAAATAGGTTCTGGATGTCAGGTTGGCATGACTTTCTAACTAGACTGGACATTTAAAAGCATTTTCTTCTTTTTCTAAGTTAGCAAAATTCTGATACTTATCCCTGAGAAAGGAAACCTAGTTTCAGGAATTTAAAGAAGTTTCCAGTGTAACACGGTGCCTAATACACAGAGGTATTAAATAAAAATTCTCCTCTTGGAATTGTTTTTTAAAAAAAGTAATGATATTCAGTTGTTCATAAGTTTGTGGTGAAACTGGTATCATACACTTATTGAGAGTGCTTTCTGGAAACCAGTTTGTCGGTATGAGTGAAAGATTCATAGACATAATCAGAAATGTTTAACAATATATGTGTGTAAAGGTATTGATCATAGTGGTGTTTATAATGAAAAATTAGCATGGCCTAAATGCCCAAAACCTGGCAGAGAAATGCATTTCAAAGTATTGTGTCTTCTACTGCCATTTAAAATATTTGTGAAGTCTTCCTAATTCTGTGATAATTACTTGCTATATATTAAATATACTTGCTATACACTAAATATAAGGTAATCCGCATTTTCCTTGTAAGAATAAAGAATAAGGAAAAATTTTTTGTATCCTCTTTGAATAAACTATTTACAGTTTTAAGACATGTTTAGAGTGTTAATATAAGTGTACACATTTAAAATCAGATTGAGGAATACTAGTTTTTTTTCACTGTCTTATGAAAAGACTTAAAATTTCATGTATATTTTGACATCAGTTTTTTTCATCATCACCAGAACCACCTTTTAGCCATCTGAAAGTTTTTCATCTTCCCTTAACATGCATATCTTTTATATACAGAGTTATTTAACATAAGTATGTGTTGGCATGGGAAAATTACCCCAAATGACAATCACACATTTACTATTTGTGCTTTTTATAACATAGCACTTACACTACACTGTAGGTTTTTAAAAATCCCAAAACTTTACTATGTTAAAACATACAGCAAAGTTCAATAAACTATACAGTGAACCTCCTCTACCCACCAACTATATTTTACAGTTAACAATTTGTTTTATTTCCATTTTTACATCATTCACATACGTAGCCATAAGTCCTTATTTTTTGATGCATCTCTAAGTTAAGATGTCCTCAGTACTTTAGCATTCATAAACTAGAATTCAATTTTTATATATATATTTTTTTTACTATTTCATTTGTGGAATTCTTTAATATAATAATCTATAAATTTTGAGATATGTACAATCCTGTTTACAACCATACTCTGATATAGAGTATCCCCATCACTCCAGAAAATTCCTGCGCCCCTTCCTAGGCAATCCCCAGCCCTACCTGATCATTTAGAATTTACACCATTTGTGATAAAATTGATTAGATAAGAATCACTTGTAGCAGATAAGTCAAGTGGAGGGGAGGAAATTTTTGAATAGGAGTAGGATATTTATATAGCTTTTTCACATTCTAAGAGAGGAAACGCAGCAACACCTGCTGAATTATGTGCCCAAAGCTAACATCTTTAAAAGAGAGGTTGTGCTTATCATGTATCTCCAGATTATACTATCCAGAGAAGGGAATAGCATCAGTTTTATAGCATTTGCATATGATAAGGTGTGTTCTATTTATTTATTTATTTTTTTAAAAAGGCCCTCTCCAGTGGCGCAATGGGTTAGGAAGCAGCACTGCAATCTAGCGGCAGCTGCTTCAGTGCAAGTTTGATCCCTGGCCTCGGAGGTGATCTACATAGCACCACAGACTTCTGTCTTGCCCACTGCTTCCCTCAGCAGTGTACTTCATAGATCTGCCTGTTCTGTTCCCACTCTGTCTCTGGTGAATCCTATCACTACCCCTGCACCTCTGTCCTATATCCCAGTTCTATATGCATAAATAAGTAAATCTTTAAAAAATTAAAAGCAGATACCATGAAAGATTAAGAAATGTCAAGGTCAAGAACTGTTCCCACTATCTCCTAGATTGTGTCCCATACAGACAAGAAAATTTTTATAAAGGGCTTATTATACGTTCATTTAACACATAATGTGGGCAGTAGATTAATGTTTGATGTGACTCAGTAAACCTTACGTGTACTGTGGTGACAAGCATATCCTTATGTCTTAGGAAATACTTAGTTTTTAGAAAATATTGAAGTAAGAGTAAAAAACTGGGTGTATATAATTTACCCTCATTTGTTCAGCGGGGGAATGTGTATACATGCATATGCACATATATTAAAAATGGATTATAAAGCAAGAGAGTAAAATTTTAACAATAGGCAAATCTAGGTAAAGGATATAAATAGTATTTAATATTCTTTATTAATACTTAGAGGTACTATTAATGAAGAAAGTTAAAAGTGGCAACTTTTCCTTTACTATCTGTTTCTTCCTCTCTAACCCCAGTAAATATAAACTCCTTAAATGTTTGATGCATAGGTTTTGCTTAATAAATAATTGTTGAAGTGGTGAGCCTTAGGAATTATGCCACTGATTTCTTCTTCCATTGCTAAGACTGGGAAACTATGGAGGCTAGTTTCCTTAGACTCAGTTAACAGAGAGGCTTCCTTGTGGGGCTTCTGCTGCTAACTGGCAGGCACAAGGATGAAGGCCACTGTATCTTTTACCACTTTCAAGAGAGCTAAACTCTTGGACTACTCCAGCATTGGATTGCTGCAGTGAGCTAATGAAGAAAGGTTAGTAACCCTTCAGGATTGCCTAGAAACACAAGAACAAATACAGTATTAACCCAGCTAAATAAAAAAGCTACTAGAGGAAGGAGAAAACTTCAACAACAAAAATGAGCACAGAGATATTTTGAAGCTAATGACATAATTATACCACCATATAATTCAGGAGATGAATGATTGCTGTGGAGTTTAAAATATTAGACTAGAAAATCAAATAAAATAAATCCTCTAAACATGGAGCTAAAATAACAAAGAGAAAATACCTTAAAAGAAAAAAGAAGAGGTACAAGAAATAGATTTGGGATTGACATCTAACATGTGAATATAATAGTTATTTGCACTAATTTAAAAGGAAAAATAAAAATGCAAACAAATTTTTCTTAAAGCCT